CTATTATACGAATGTAATCTACGTGCTAAAACGTTTAAAACTTAGACGGCATCGTCCGTTTTCATCTTTTTTTCTTCTTTTTTTTTGTTTTGTTTTGTTTTGTTTTGTACAATCGACAATAGAAAAAAGAAAGAACAATACGCAGTAGCGGTAATTATTTCGTAATTTATAATAATATACAATGATGTAACATTAATAATATTTCAGCGTCGTTAATATAAAGGTATAATATATAATAAAGACTCTGTGCAGTAAATAATTTATGTAAAAATTTCCGGCGAACACTAAGAAATCGCACAAAGTTTGATTCTCGCGTCACTCCTCTAACACACACACATTGTATTTGGACGCGTACACCACACACACACACACACACGCACGCACGCACAAAATTATGCACATTATACACATACGCAAGCAAATTACACATACACAATTAGTTGTTTTTCCGTTCGTTTTGTACATCTTTTACGCTCGCATTCTCGCGTTTTGCATTTGCACATTGCCTCGTCGCGTAACAAACTTTCACGCCAGACAGAGTTTTTAGTTTAAACCTTGACCAAAACCTTGTCTGAGCGCTTGCTGATCTCTCCTTCGCGTCGCTTCCCTTTCTGTTCTCCGTTGACGAGTTCAACGTAACGAATCAAAGAAAAGAACAAAAAAGAAAACAAAGCGGAGCTCGACAGAGTTGCGCAGAAACGAGCTACTTGTTCGTATGTATAATATAATATTCACAAAGAACCATTTTGCTTTAAACGGCGCGCGCCTACTAGGAGCCGAGAGAAGCGAATAAGGATCGATAACGTCGACAATTTAACAGTAGACAGTTCCGAGGAAAGCGAGAAACTCGAAAAAAAAACGACTCAAGAAACGCAATTTAGCGCGACTTCAACTTCCCGTTCTCGCCGCGCGTTCCTGCAGCACGTGCGCATCCGCGTGAAAAACATTGCGATTCGTTCTACAGAAAGGCACGGAGAAAAATAAAAAAAAATAAAGAAAAGATCGAGCCACTATGCATCGCGAAACTACTCGAGTCGTCCTTTAGACTCGAGTGGCACCAGTTTCGAGAACGCAAATGGGTTGCATCCCCCGCGCGCGGTTGTATCTTCCATTCGTTTCTTCTTCCCGACGCGTGTGATCGAGAATCGATCTCTCACTTTAAAGAACTCGGTAGTAGTCGCGAGCGTCGCGTCTCTCGTGTGCCTTGCCCGTGAAAATTTGATAGGATCGTTCCCGTAAATATCAGTTCAAGTTAACTGGGATTCGACTGGTTTTCTCTCTCGTTTCTGTTCACACACACACACACATATGCACACACTCTTTCTTTTTCTGTTCAAGAGACGAAGAAACAGTTAAAGCTCTCGCTCAACATTGCTGTCAGTTAAACTTCAATTAACTTCAACATGTGTTTACGGTCCGCGGAAAATTCAAAAATTTTTCCGACCAGCGCCGCGCTGATTTCTCCCTTTAAGCTCGTTCGTACTTCCTTTGACAACTCTCGCCGGATTATAAATTCCCCCTCTGCAAAAAAAAACGTTTCTCGGGATCGGCAAATAGGCCTGCGCAATTAGGCGGGAGCGGTATTTCCGCAAGAGGTTCGTCTTGTTTTTTTTTCTCCACTTCCGTCCACGAGGCGTTCGCTTGTTCTTTACAACGGGGACGTTCGTTGGGGCTCGACACGCTTTCGTCTTTCTTCTCTCTCCCTTTCTTTATCTAACTCACCCCCTCTTTTCCCCGTTACGTCGTCTTTTTTTTTTCTAACTACCAGCCGTAATCCTAACGAAATACTCTAATATATATATATAATATACATTTACATATATTTATATATTTATATATATTTATATATAATAGCCGATACAAATATCACATGTGATCACCTACTTGCGCTCGTTACACGAGCTTCGCTACACCTTGTACAAAACGTCGAGTCTTCGAAGTAAACCAGCGCGTCTCGACTTTTTTATTCTCAAGTCGCGATGAAGTGGTTAAGTCTCAAACCTTTTGGAAAAAAAACGTGTCTTTCTCTTATGTTCCTGTATTTTTTTTTATTTTTTTTTTTATTTTTGTCTTTTGTTTCTTTTTTACGTAAGTCCCTGCGCTTTGTCAGGAAATAAGTTAGTCAGGTTCCTAGAATCGTATACAATGCGTTTCGCGTTTCGTGTTCCTTCTCGTTTTCTGCCCGGTGCGCGCGCGCGCGACTATCTCATCCGATTTTCCTTCGCTGATAACGTCCAAACACTCGCTTCGTAGCACGAGGCTCGCTAAAGTTTATATTTTAAATTTAAAAAAACATGTACAATCACATTTCCGACAGATTAAATTTCGCAGACGACCGCGATACGTACGAACGACTCGTGGCGCGAAACATGTTTACGCGCGCAAATGCCATTTTTTTTTTTTTTCGGAGTACGAGAGCCGGAGATATTTTTAGCGGAAAGGGTCGGGAAAAGACCCTCTGCGTCGGCCTTTCGTCGAACAGTCCCAAGAAATGCAGCGCGAAACGACGCTTGTCTAAAACGGGATATGATCGATAACCAATTCGACCTTTCGCGGAAGATGACGCTGAGTTGTCAGCGGAGAGCAAAGAGCGCGACATCGTAGAAAATCCGATCGTTTATCGATATCAAATGCACATAACTGTTCAGCCGGCAATTGTTTTTTTTTTAGCGTAACTATTGATGATGTTTTTCGTTGTCATGTCACCGAAAGATGTAAAGTATGATAAGAACACAATAATGGAAAACATATACACGGTCATTGTTTACATTTCGAAAGGGTTTTTCGACGGAAGCGTCGAAAAGAAGAAGACGAAGAAAAAAGAAGAAGAAAACCTGACGCCGAGAGAAAGAAGCGACGACTGCGCAAGCGCGTTTTTTTTATTATACAAATTACGTATCTTGACGGCAAAAAAGTTACGATTACAAGAATTACTATCACTTTGCACGTCTACCATTCGTTTCCTTTTACACTTTCCACACTCTCTCTTCCTCTTTCGCTCGCATCTTTCTTTTTATTCGTTTTATTTTATATAGTACAAAATATTCCATTAAAGATCACTTTCGTTAAAACTTTCTCTCTCTCTCTCTCTCTCTCTCTCTCTCTCTCTCTCTCTCTCTCTCTCTCTCTC